CCTGCCTGTGAGCCTCAGGCCCAGGCTTTTGTACGCATCCCTGGCCTTTGTCTTCCAGCTCGAAGGCCTTGGGGCCTGGGTCAGAGCCGGCCCAGAATCCCAGCTCCACCAGCACAGATCCAGGCCTCTACCTTTCTCAGTGTCACTTCCTGAAAACAAGGTGGGTCACAGCCTCTGCTCTCTGGGGTGTCACGAAGGTGGAGATGATCCTGGAGAGTCCCGTATTTTACAGGGCCCCTGCCTAGTGTGTCTCCCTGGAGTCTGGCAAAGCAGGGCTCGGGACACTGAGGGCCTGCCCCAGTTGCTGCTTGGCTTCTGGAAAGCCTTCTGGGGACAGCCCTGAGACCTCTGCACTGACGTCTGTGGGATGTGGCCCAGGACCTTGCTTCAACGCCAGCTTCAACGTCGCTGACAGTCACCTGGGCACCGGCGACAGCCTCATCTCCTTCCAGTCCAGCTGTGCACCTGCCCCACACTGCACACTGCAGACCTTGTGTTCTCACTGCACACGGGGGTGATTAGAACCCTTGTCGGGCTGTGTGGGATCGGACCCAGTGCCCAGGAGCTCGAGGCAGAAGGTAGAGGAAGGCCCAACCGGGGAGCCTGGGTTCTCTACCAGACAAGGTCTCAGGACCAGCAGGGCCCCGGCAGCGCCAGCTCAGGGTTCACTCTGCTCACTCTCTAGCTCAGCTTCCCACTGACTTCCAGAGAGAACTTGGCCACGTGTCCCAGAGGTGGAACTTCCTGAAGGCAAGGCAGGGTTGGGGGCTTCAGCAGGCAGAGGAAGGGCTGGTGGCTGGAGCCACAAGGACCTGGGCATGCGCACACATACCCAGCGTGTTTTTCAAGCTGCCTGGGCCAAGACTTGAACCACTGTTGACCGTGATGTATCTGCTCCCTAGGTGCAGAGCTTTACCACTACACTGTGGGGCCAGCCCCAGATCAAACTCTTTCTTGGGGCTCTTGGGGAGACGAGGCACCTGCACACTGCAGCCCCTCCTCTGGCGATCACGTTGTTTTGAATTCTGTTTCCACTATCATGTGTCTTATCCTGAAAGCCCTCTTTTTCTTTCTTTTGGAGAGGTTTTTGCTATAGGGCATGTGCACTCACCAGAAAGACAGAGACAGAGAGAGAGAATGCAAGAAATCACCCCCCAGGGGGAATAGCCAGGAGGCGCCTTCTCCTCTATTCTCCTCTCGGGATTTTGGGCACACACGCACACATGGCCAGCATGAGTTTAAGCCACCGGGTCCAGAACTAGAACCGTGGTCGACTATATGGAAGTCCAGCAACATAGCCATTACGCCAACTGCTGGTCCCCTGAAAGCCCCCTTACAAAAACCCTCATGATATTAAAAAACAAAGACAAAAACAAAAAAAAACACCTCATGATATTGAGCTTACCCAAACAGTCCAAGGGAGACCTTTCCCCTCAACATCCTTAGTCAGTTCTGCAGAGTCCCTTTTCTTTAAGCTTTTATTGGGTCATTAGGAAAGTCATGACATTTTTATACAGAAAAACATAGAAAACTACGTCGTGACTTTTTCCGATGAGCCAGTATTTGTCTTGTCTACGAGAGACAACGCACACATGCACAGAGATGGAGAACTCCCCCAACAGGGTCCTCAACACTGCAACCCACCCTGGCCTCAGCCAGCCTGGATCAGGCACGTGTGCATGCCTGGATGTACAGGGGAGTCTCGGAACAGACCGAGAACCTTCCACGTGAGTCCGATCACATGACCACGATGCCACCACCTGGTCAATGCAAAGTCCCTTTAGCCACATCAGGTGACAAAGGCACAGGTTTGTGGGATCAGGACTGGGTGTCTTTAAGGACCATTTTTCTTCCCATCCCAGAAAGGGGAGAGGTGCTCTGCCCGGTCCCAAGCCCAGACCAGGGGACTCATCCAGGGCAGAGGGGTCATGAGGGAGAATCAGGCCGCTGCCTCAGCTGACACTCAGGCTGGGGGCTGGCTGGGGCCAAGAGCTCCTGGAAACCTGGCACCTGCCCCTGCCACCGCCAAGGACAGCCTGTTCTCTGGCATGGCTGCCATGTGAGGTCAGGTGCACTTGAGCCTCGAAGCAGCCATGGATCAACTAGAACAGCTGCCTGGCTCAGGCAGGAGGCCAGGGCCTCGCAGCTTCCTCTCCCCGCTGACTGGGATGTCTGGGATCTGCCGTCAGGTTTGCCATGTGGGCTCCATGGGAAGTCCCAGCTCTGCTCTAGAGAATGTACCCACTTACTGGTGACACTTACTGAACTTGGGTATGCCAGCCACAGGGGAGGCCACAGAGCTGCATGTGACAAATGTCGCTGATGCCAGCAGCGTATGGGCTGGGGCGGCGGGGAGAACACAGGGGTCAGCATGGGTGGACAGGTGGACTCAGCCAGAGGTGGGTGGGAAAAGACACTGGCCTGCAGAGGCCAGCCGAGGCGAAGTCCAGGCAGGGAGACCGGGGCAGCAGACTGCTGTGTGGTCAGGGCAGCTGTCCTGAAGGCAGCTAGGGCCCAAGGGTGATGGTGAGCGGGAGCAGAGGACGAAACTGGGAGGGACCGTGGCAGGCACAGGTCTGAGCATGCAGGGGGCTCAGGAAGTGGGGAGACATGCCCACCCTGCCCTTCCAGATTCTTTGTAGAGCAGCCAGGAGGGGAAGCCCCTGGCTCTACCTCACAGGAAGCCAGTGGGGGCAGCTCAGGGCTGTGTAGAGGGGGCTGGGCACGAGGCAGGACACGGGGCCCTGGGAGCTGCAACAGGGTGAGGCAAGCACACATGCACGCATGCATACACACCCAGTGGGGGCCAGGTGTGACTCCAGCAATAAAGACTCCCCAAAAGCAAGGACCTAACTTTGTCTCTTGGCCACCTCCCGCCATGGCACCTCTGGCAGGCCACATCCTCTCCTGGCACTCGGTCTCCCCACCTGCAGTGGCCTTTCGGATGCCAGCACACATACTCCCCTTGGCTGACCGAGAGCGAAAGGTGGCTGCCACCTGACGTTGGCCTCGGGCTCAGAAAAGCCAGCTTCTCGTAGGGAGCGAGCTGCCCAAGGTCCCACTGCAAGACACAGCTCTCGGTCCCAGCTCCCTGGCTCCAGCACATGACGCTGCCTCTGGCTCCGCACCAGGGCAACAGGGGGACATCTCATGGGATGAGCCAGCCTGGTCTGCCACGCTCCTTAGGGCCCACGCTGACTCAGCTCACTCGGCCAACCTAGAGGTTTCCTGTCGCTGTTGACAGGAGTGCTGGCTCTTTGACCTCCCAGTGACCGCGAGTCTGCAGAGAGCAGAACTGGAATGGGGGGTCACAACCCAGTGCCCACTATCTTGGCTTCTCACTCCTCCAACCCCTCCCAGGGACAGATGGGTTCTTTAAACTCAGAGGCCAACTTGGAAGGAACGTGTAAACTATCGATAAAAACTCTGAGAATCAAAAGGAAACCAAAGCTCTGCTCGCCCCTCACTGGCTCAGCCTCCCACCCATGAATGTGAATGTGCAGCTCCAGAACTGCACCGAGTCCTCACCCTCGCAGCCCCAAGACCGCATGGGGTCCTCAGCCTCGCAGCCCCCAGGACTGCACGGGGTCCACAGCCTTGCAGCCCCCAGGACTGTGCAGGGTCCTAGGCCTCGTGGCCCCGAGTAAGCAGGCAGTCACCTCCAAGCTGAAGCTCTCAGCTGAGGCCTGGTCAGGGGGGTGCTGCAAACCACCCAGGGGGGTGGAGGGCTGAGTCAGCCCCCAGGAGTGAGCTGTTCCACACCAGGCCTACGTGATCCCAGCAGGACTGAGTGCCCATGTGCCCTCTGCTGTGCCACCCCCAGGACTGTCGGCCAGCCCTACTGGGGCAGAGGAAGTTCCCACCCCTAGACTCCCCGGGATGAAGAGCTCACAGCAACAAAGATATCAGGCCACCATCTGCGGGTCCCCCTATACTTTCCTGGCCATGTCTGCCAATACCCCACAACGAGTCCACCAACAGAGACACTGGTGGCCTACCCTCGGCCACCTAATGTGACGCAGCCAGGCTGGGAGCCCGGGTCTGCCTAGAGGTGAATTGTGGATGTCCCAGCTCCTTGGTGCCCCAGGAAGGACACCTCTACCCTTGTTTTGTTTTAAAAAAATATATTTTTCATTAACATATAATAATTGTACGTATTTGTGGGGTGGAAGTTGATTCTGCAGTACAAGATACCGCATGTAAGGACCAGACCAGGGACTCACACATCTGTCATCATTCCTTGTGCTGGGAACATTCGAGATCCTCCCTGTGAGTTACCCGCAGCGGGCTGTGGCCATCTAAGCTCTCCCACTGGGTCTTACAACACTAGGCAAGCTCCTCCCGCCTGTTGGCCCCCCGCTGCCTCCAGCAGTCACTCCTCATCTCTAGGAGGTCAGTTTTTTCCATTTCCAGCCTTGTTTCGACTCCCAAGTTCCAGAGAAATGCAGAGCCCGGGGAATCACAGAATCGTGGGAAATGCCGCAAACACCCAGGGTTCAGAGCACCATCCGCCACCCTCCGAGCAGCGTTCCAGACGCTTGGACAGGCTGGGCCCCGGCCAGGGTCCGCAGGGCAGCCGTGCTATGGCCCAGACCTCCGGATGTGCAGGAACCGGGGCCTGGAGATGGGCACAGAGAGCTGGTTACCGCTGGGCCCCAGGGAATGAGCAGGGCGTGGGGATAGCACATCCTCCCACAGCCACGGCAGAGCACAGGCCTGGGAGGGAGAGCCTCACCTCCCACAGAAGTCCCTGCGCACAGCCACGAGCTGGAGGTCCAGGTCCGGCCGGCTCTGAAGCCAACGGCTGACAAGCTCTGGCTGCCTCGGGTCCACTTCCAAGAAGATATTTCTAGCAGGGGAGAGATGGGTGGGCTCAATTGGCAGGGCCAGATGCATGTCTGGGTTGTCCAGAAGGGGCAGGCAGGACAACGCCAAGGTGCCCAGGACATGCGGGGACCGAGGGGGCTGCTGGGGACAAACCCAGAGACCCGTACCCGGAGTCCTTCAGAAGCTGGGGTGCCAGGGCCAGGATGTGGGCAATGACATCCATGCCCTCCTCCCCACCGTCCAAGGCCGCCACATCTTCATAGCTGCAGAGGAAAGCAGTGGGAACTGAGAGTCTGGAGTAGGAGACCTGGACCTTCAAAGAACTGGGCAGGACCTCCATGGAGGGCCATGGGATCCAACACTGGGCCAAGGCAAGGTCAATGGCCCAAGGACAGGCCCCAGTGCATGGCAGCTCCTGTGTCCCCACCTCCTGTAGGCAGCACTTCAACCAGGCAGTGCTGGGTGTGCTGGCTGGTCCCACCAACTGACAGACACCAGGACATGGGCCCTACAAGGCAGGAAGGTCTGGGGCTAGCCCTGACCCTCCCGAGAGCCCCAGAAGTAGGGGCCAACACCCCGAGTCAAAGTACCACTGCCCTGTCTCAGTCCCCATGTGAGAGCAGGATGGCTTGCTTAGCACAAAGCCAGGAATAGGGTTCGTTCCAGCTTTCCTGGGGAGCTCCTGCATGATTCCAGGCAAGACACCCTAGCTCTGTGGGCCTGCCTTCTGTAAACCACCTACTGAGCACCATCTGTGAGCACCTACTGTCCGATGCTTCCGAGTCCTCACTCGGGCCTCCCTGGGGCCCTACAAAGCACCACGACTCCCCTTCCAGAGGCGGAAAGCTGAGGCTCGGAGAGCTTCTGCAGCATCAGGAATCTTAAGTGGGAGGCGGAAGCAGAACTCAGGAGGCCTGTGGTTTGGGGCACCCTGTCCACACTGTTGCACCCTTCAGTGCCCCTGCCCAGGGGCTTGGTCCTCAAGGGCTGACTGATCCCACTAGGCCTTCTGGGCCAGGCTTCCCTGTTCCACCTCACCCAGCACCTGCGGATCTCAGGGGCCAGCTGCTCCATGTCCTGGTGGAAGACGTAGGGAGGGTTGCTGACGACCAGGTCCACGGGGCCCCAGGGCAGGAGGTGTGTCCAGCTCCCTTCTGTGCTTAGAGAAGGGGACACACAGCAGACGTTGGTCCATTGATAAGTAAAAGACTCTAGCGCCACTTGCCACCATGTCCCTGGCAAAGCTGTTCCCCAGCCACATCCTGGGCCTGTCTTTGGACCTGATAAACCACACTTGGGGATTAGGTCCCGGGGTCCCCCATGCTTGGCTGGGCATGTGCACACACTGATGTGGCAGCCTTTCACCTAAAATTTTCTTGCCCACTCTTCTCCCAGTCAAAAATCTTCTGTTAAGCAAGACTCAGTTCAAACAGCACCTCCAGGAAGCCCTCCCTGATTGGCTGTGTGAAGCTTTTCACCTCTGCATCCCCATTGGCTTCAGGACATTCAGCTGTAGAGCCAACAGGGACTGGAGGACCTGGCCTCAGCCAATTCCTGCAGCCTCTGCCCACTGGCCCAGCCCCTGCCAGGTGCTATGCCGGGTGTCTCATACGCCACGGAGGGGCACACTTGGCTCAAGGCTCTCATGGGTAACGTGATGGGGTCAGCTGGAAACCTGGCTACTCTGCAAGGCTGTGGCTGGGTGTGCCGGGCCTGGGCCCCTTCCTCCCAGGCCAGGGGATGGAGGGAAGGTACTCCTGGGTCCAGCCTATGTGTGTTCTTTGGAGCCTTTGCTTATTTCTCACCAACAGTGAGCCCCTGAACTCGTTAGTTATGGGGATTCCCAAGGTAAGAAAGGCCCTGGGCTGGTCCCCTCGGGGGTCAGGTCAGCCCAGGGCGGGGAAGGCAACTTGCCCATCCTCAGCAAGGACTGGTGAGATGCCGTGTGTGTATGAGAGAGAGACACACAGACGGACAGTGCGCCTGTTGGGAAGCCCCCCATCTCCAGAGTCCCCATCTCCGGGAAGATGGGTGGGGGTAAGTACCTAAGGTCACATCAAGGGGGACCATCCAAATCCGGTCCTGCAGCCGAAGCCTAGAGAAACAAAGAGGCAGGGGTGAGCGTGGTGAAGACCCCCTACCCTTGGCTACAAGGAAGGGGAGGATCACGAGCCCTTTTAGGGCCCCCAAGGTTCCCAGCACCACCGTCCACAGGGACCCTGCGGGACTCATGCCAGGCTGCCCCCACTGCCTGCCCCTGCTGGGGAGTGAAACTCAGATGCTGGTGAATTTGGTGCCCGAATGGGGGCAAGGCAGGCCCAGAGTCCAGCTCCCCACCCTGGCCCTTGGCTCCTTGAGGCCACCTACCTCTGTGCATTCTCATGGGTCAGGGAGATGGCTGCCTCGCCCTTGTCCACGGCAATGACTCGGCTCTGCCCCAGAATGAACGAAGGTTGGGAAGCAGAGTGCCAGGAGATGCCACCCCTGGGACCCTGCTCTAGATCCCACCGGAAGAGGGAAGCACCCAACAGCTTTTTCATCTCTAAGGCCAGGGTCTGTCCAGACAGAGCTGAGACCACGGGGGGTTGTCCCCAGCCCTGTCATCCTGTCTGGCCGTTTACCCTTGAAGGCTCTTAGCAGGGTAGGGGAGACAGGCAAGGGGAGGGAGGTGAGTGTCAGTCACAGCCTACCCAGGGTGGACAGAGGGACGCGGAGGGGCCTCACCTCGGGGAGCTGGCTGAGCAGGCTGAGAGCGATGGCCCCTGATCCACAGCCCACTTCCAGGATAAGGGGACCATCTTGGGCTCCCTCCACACGAGGCCTCTGGACCACCTCCTCCAGCACCCACTCAACCAGTTCCTATGAGGAGAAGGGTCAGTATCAGAGGTGTGGCCCTGGCCCTGGGGCTCCTGCTCCAGAGGCCCAAGTGCTTAGCCCCTGTATGGATGCGGAGAAGGGGAGGAGGCCAAAGCGGCACCGGCCTTCATGTCACCCTGTCTCTCCACACCTGTTCCCGTCTACATAACTGAGCACGACTGAGGACAGCCTCCTTGTGGGGACGTGTGGGGATTAAGCGGAACCACGCGTGGGAGGTGCAGGCCCCACACCGGTCACAGGTAAGTGTCCAACCAACCCGGGAAGCCCCACCCAGATATCTCCTGTGCTGGGCTCATGGTAGTGCCAAGAACCACCCCCAATGACTCCCATCCCCTCTCTGCCTGGCCCTGTTCCCTGGGCCATCCCTACATCAGTCTGTTGGATCCTGAAAACCGGCTCCTGGGGAAGCTGAGGCCCAGAAGTTTCGGGCCTGCCTGGAGCCTAGCTTGTGGCTCCAGATGGCCAAGAACCAGGGGTGGGTGTGTTCTCAGCTTCCCCAAAGAGCTGAACTTGGGAGTCCCAGGGAGGCTCCTAGGCCAAAGAAACACAGGATCCCCTCCAAGGGGGTGGGGGTGCAGTCCTGCCTACGTCCCACACCTGAAGGGGTGGCGCACGCGGGCAGAGGCAGTGGGCGCTGCGCAGTGGAGGGCCCTGACTGCACTAGCCGCCCTGGGGGGAAGACACCTCCAGATGTTGTCACTGCGGAGCCTCACACGCCCATGCACCCTGCGGGGCTGCGTGGATGCTGACCTGGGGCTGGGGAGGAGGCGGCTGCTCTCCATGAGCTGTGTCACGGGGCAGCGGAGTGGCCAGTCACAAAGCTGAGACAGGGTCCCGTGGCCCCTCACAGGCAGAGTCTGTGGCCCCCCCACCCCACAGAGGCTCAGGATTCCTGGGACCCAGCTCCTAGGCAAGACAGGCTTGAGGACTCAGTTGGGGGTAGCAAGGGGATACTTCTCTTATCTGAAGAGAGGCCCACCTCCTCCAGGAAGCCTTCCTCAGGACCTGGCCAGGCTCCTTTTGCCATAGAATCCCTGCTCTGAGCCCCAGACTTCTCCTCCATGCCCCACGGAGGAGGACCGGGGCCCCATGGGCAGAGCTCGGCCCAGAGTGGCCTCTCGGCTGCTTGCCAGGTGGCCCGGGAAGCCGCCCTCTGGTTTCACACCCCAGGCACCCTGAAACCCCAAGCTGCCAGCCAGGCTCAGCTGTGCCGAGGGCCCCAGACTGCTCAGACACATTTTCCACACCAGATCCTGGGTCTCCACAGGCATCCAGCCCTCTGGGCCCTAGACCCCAGCAGCACGGTGCACCTGCCCCAATGGCAGCAAGCCCGTGGCCGGCAGGACTGGCCAGCAGCTCTGTCCCATTCCGAGCCCTCCTGCCCCAGACAAGCTACTGCCTGCCAGGAGGGGCCTGGCTCTGCAGGAGGGGCACCCCTTCTCCACTCCCACCAGCCCTGTGCCAGGTACTACTGGAGACCGGGGGAACACACTGGGCCTGCAGGGTGGGCCAGGCAGGGCGAGCGGTCTAGGGCGGTGGCCCAGGGCCTGCGGTCTCAGTGGTGAGGCCACATGCTGAGAGACCAGCAGGATGACCTGGTCATGGCAGCGGTGTGAGACTCTGGGTTTCCTGGCCACAGACAAACCTACCCTGGCTAGAGAATGACCCCTCAGCCAGCCACGCTGTGACACCTCAGACACTGTGACCTCAGACACACTCCATAGACATGCCCAGGGCTGCTCAGACAGGGCGAAGAGCTAAGAGGCTGGCCCCCACTGCCACCGGGTCCCTCTTGCCTCACACTCCGGACCACAGGGCTCAGTTTGGTTGTGGAACCTCCTGGGGGCCAGAGACAGCAACCACCCCCAACAGTCTAGAAATGTCCTCTTTCCACCTGTGACGAGCTCCCCTCAGCCTGAAGCCAGTGGCCCTGTGGGGGCAGGGGTGGTGCTGAAAGCCATACTGGTCACAGGCCTAGGGCACCTCCCCCTGGGAGAATCTAAGAACACAGAGTGTGGAGGGAGCAACACGAACTCCACCCCCCCCCAGGAGGTTGGTTCAAATCCTCTACGGGTCTTGAGGCCATGAACACCCTCGGTTGGGATCACACCCTAGTGGGACAGCCCCAGGGAGGTGGCAGTCCTCCCACGCTAACTGCAGATAAAGTACCAGGCCTCCCACACCGTGCAGCCCTCGGTGGTGCACCAGGCTGGGTGTGATGACTCACACCCCTGGCCTCAGTTTCCTACTACACACACTTCCAGTCTGGGCACTGCGACACCTTCTCTCCCCAGGGAAAATCCAGCCCGCTGGGCCACGTGCCCCTCTGCACTGCGGACTCATACACCCTCTGAAGCACCCTTTAGTGGATGGAGAGAATGCAGGCACCGTGACCCTCCCCACTCCCCGCCACAGGCCACGTCCTCTTGAGTTCTTGGTAAGGCACCCCAACGCGGCTTTACACGGGTGAGCCTGGTGAGTTCTCAGAATCGTCTGCACAGTGAGGCGAGGACCTGGCCTCCCGACCGCAGCACCCCTCTCCCCACCGCCTTTCAGCAGAGCTGCAATCCTGGCCCGGACCCACCCAGGAAAGGGAGGGCCACATGCCAGCCGGAAGGCCACACTTGACACTCAGAACTCCGGAACACGTGGGTGGTGCCAGGTCGGCTCTGAGGGAACCTGGAAGTCACCATGATGGCAACCCTTGCACTTCCTGGCACGCCTCTGGGTTGTCTCGGGGAATGGCAACGAGCTGTAGTCAGGGTCTACATGTTCAGGGGAGCCACGGGTGCCCTCCCAATAGCCTGCAGGTGGCAGACCAAGGCCTGCTCCGGGTCTCTGCACCTTCTCCCAGGTCACTCCAGTTCCGGATGGGGCGGCCCCATGTGAGGCATGGAGGCACGCTCCCCTCCCTGACAGCAGCAAGGCCTGACTCCCGGCTGCTCCTGCCTTCACACTAGCCGTGAGCTGAGGACTTGGTCTCCTCAGGGCATGCTGTGAAGGTGGCAGGGGACAGAGAGCTTCTTAGCCAGGGGACAGAGGCCGGGAGGGTGAGGAGGGGTCTGGGCCCCTAGCTGGGGCAGGAGGGTGGACCTGACCTTTTCCAGGTTTTTTTGGTTTTTTAGAGGTTTTTGCTATAGGGCATGTACGCTCACCAGAAAGACAGAGACAGACAGAGAGACAGAAAGCGAGAAATCACCCCCCAGGATCTTGGGCATGCATGCACATGCACCTGGCTGAATTTAAGCCACCAGGTCCGGGACTCGAACCGCGGTTGGATACATGGGAGCCCAGTGACATAGCCATTACGCCAACTGCTGGTCCCTCTTTTCCAGGGGTTTGTATGCCTGGTGCCCACCTCAGAACCCAGTGCCCTCGGCCTTGACTGCCTGCTCCCACCCAGCCCCAACCTCCAGTCTGGTCTCTCTCGCGGCCCCATGTGAGGCATGGAGGCACGCTCCCCTCCCTGACAGCAGCAAGGCCTGACTCCCGGCTGCTCCTGCCTTCACACTAGCCGTGAGCTGAGGACTTGGTCTCCTCAGGGCATGCTGTGAAGGTGGCAGGGGACAGAGAGCTTCTTAGCCAGGGGACAGAGGCCGGGAGGGTGAGGAGGGGTCTGGGCCCCTAGCTGGGGCAGGAGGGTGGACCTGACCTTTTCCAGGTTTTTTTGGTTTTTTAGAGGTTTTTGCTATAGGGCATGTACGCTCACCAGAAAGACAGAGACAGACAGAGAGACAGAAAGCGAGAAATCACCCCCCAGGATCTTGGGCATGCATGCACATGCACCTGGCTGAATTTAAGCCACCAGGTCCGGGACTCGAACCGCGGTTGGATACATGGGAGCCCAGTGACATAGCCATTACGCCAACTGCTGGTCCCTCTTTTCCAGGGGTTTGTATGCCTGGTGCCCACCTCAGAACCCAGTGCCCTCGGCCTTGACTGCCTGCTCCCACCCAGCCCCAACCTCCAGTCTGGTCTCTCTGGCTCCCAGCTCTGCCACTATAAGGTCAAGGGGCACCTGAAATGGGCCACAGAAAGCATCTCTCCCAGGCTCAGGATGGCTCACCCAGGGACAGCATGCTTGGGTCACACGTCCCCAGTCCTAGTACTTCATGGAACTGACACAGGTGACCCCCTGACCAGATGGTGGGCCTCAGACGGCCTCATCACAGACTCTCTGGTCTGGAGCCCCATCCTCCTCATCATTTGGGCCCAAGGTCACCCAGGCCTCCAGGTGTCCAGCTGGAGCCCTCTCCACTTCCTCCATGTCTCCTGAGAAGCTGCTGGAAGGCACTTGTTTCCTGTGGGCTGGGGGTGGGGAGTGCCATCAGCCCACAGGACAGCTCCTAGGGAAATGGCAGGACTAAGCACTCTCGGAGAACGTGCTAGGGAGCTCGAGGAAACTACCAGCCCTGGGAGCTGGGAACAGGACTGTCAGGAAGACAAGAGTGCTCTGTACCCAGGGCTTCATCAGCCTGGTCAACTCCTGAGGACAGCTGGCGTGGGGCCCCAGTGCCCCCTGGAGGAAGCCTGGGGGAAGACAGGCGCCTGGAGCCCCACCCTCATTCTTGCCCTGCCCTGCCCTGCCCCACCCAGCCAGGCGCCGGTGGCACACCTACCTCTGTCTCTGGCCGAGGAATGAACACTGGGGGCGCCATCTTCAGACTAAGCCCCTTGAAGTCCCACTCCCCGAGAATGTACTGCACAGGCATCCTGCAGGGGACGTAGCAGTGGTGGTCAGTGCCAGAGCCAGGACCCACTGGACCATGCCTGGGTTGAGGTTCCACTCATGCCAGAGGGTGTCAGGTAGGGCCGTGCCTCCTGTGCCTTGAGACTCCTGGCCAAGTGTTTCCCCCCTTGTCTTCCTGTTTTCTACCCTGGCCCCCTTGCCCCAATTCCTCCCTAGTCCTCAGACATGCTCTTCCTCCCTGACCATGAACCTGGTGGAAATGGGGGTCCTGTATGAGACCTCCGGTCTGACCTGCGCATGCTCACCTCTGCAATCGGCAGCTGCTCAGTTCCTGGATGCACTGCAGCTGCTGAGGGCTCAGGGGCTGGGTCCGAAGTGCTGGCCTCAGGCTCTGAAACTGTTCCCACAGAGAATATAAATGACAGGCTCCCCGGCCCAAGAGCCCCAGCTCTGTTACTGATGTGGACTATCTCTATAGGCTCAGCCGTCTCCTCATCTGAGCCCAGAAGGGGCAGTGACCTGTCCAAGGATACCCAGCAGATACCAGGCCTCCAGGTGCCCATCTCTGAACCCCAGTGCTTGGTACATGCTGTAATAGTCCATTGAATGGATGAATATATATTTGCCTAAGACATTCCTTAGAAAAACCTCATCAGCCCCAACTAAACAGAAAAGGTTCAATGTCCCTTCCTAGAGTCCCCCTCTTTCTTCCTTTCCCCCACTCCCCCCAACCCCGCCTCCCTGACAACTCTGCACTTAACTGTTTTGGCTCCAAGGACATGAGCCACGATGTACTCACTGGATTCCCGGGCCTCAGGGATGCCTCTCTTCTCAAAGACCCCTGTCCAGTGGTTGACCAGCTCTGTGGCACTGGACAGCCCAGCTAGAGGTAGATGGGGTTGCCCCGAGCGGAAGGCCCAGCCCCGAGTGCCTCCCCTCCTCCCTGGGCCAGACAGGAGGGCCCGCAGCATTGGGCCCCAAGACTCCATGTCTCAGGGAAAGGTTCCTAAGTGCTCCCAAGCTCTCAAGTCTCCCTTGTGATGTCAGCAGCTGAGGCGGGTGCTGAGGGGTGCAGCCTCCAGCTGGGGGAGATGGAGTGGTCACAAGTTGGGCACTGGTCTTCAGATGTTGTCCCTGGAGGAGGAGGGAGCCAGAAGAAGAGCTGAACCTCGTGTGATACCCTACCTTTTGCCACCCCACTGCCTGAGAAAGACATGCTCTTGCTGTCATCTTGACTCTGTTTAGACCCTCGGGTGCCTATTTGATTCTTCTTGTCCTGACCAGTTATGCTTTCTGAACATTCTTAGCCGGCGTGGGCTGAAGCCAGAGCTCAGTCCCTGCTAGTAAGCAGGCTGGTGGGAGTAGGTAGGTTGGCTTGGGATTGGGTAGAGTGTATCTGACTCAGCATGTGTGATCTTGGGGAAATCATTATTTCTGAATTTGTTTCCTTACCCACAAAACCAACTCATGATAGATGTCAAGGTCCTGGGAACTGGCTCAAGGCACAGTCAGGATTCAATGTTACAAGCTCTTAAATATTGGGGGGGGGGGAGGGGACTGCCTTTGCTTGAGAGCTTTGATTCTGACACTGCAGTGAACGTGGCCGCTTTGTATGCTGAAAATGTATTAACTCGAACCATAACATTAGGTGTCAGCATAAAGTGTGAAAAGTGAAAAACTGGGCTGTTTATACTTAATAATAAACTGTCATGAGTGAGTTTAACTGGTTTAAAACAGTGGACCCAAGGATCAGCAGCTGGAGTAACGGTCACGTTGCTGGACTTCAACATGGTAGACCATGGCTCCAGTCTGGACCCAGATGCTTGAAACTCACATTGGGCACATGTGCTAGCATGCCCCAAATCCCAAGAGGGCAATGGAGGAGAGGGAACTGCAGTGTGGCCATCCCCCCTCGGGGGGTTGGGGGGTTTTGCTTTCTTTCTCTGGTGAGTGTACCCTCCGATAGCAAAAATCTCTCTTAAAAAAAAAAAAAAAAAAAAGGCAGTGGACCCCTTTACGTCCAGACAAACTAAGGACGAAACGACCACTTACTGAGAATCTACTAAAGTGCCACATCTTCAGAGACAAAGCAAGCTCCAAGAGGGGAAGCGAGGTGCCCAAGATCGCCCAGGTAGGAAATGACCCGAGCAGGACACGAGCCCGGTTTCCCCAGACTCCAGAGGCGGCTCTGTCCACTTACGGGGACGCTGGCCCGGGGTTCAGAGTGCAACCTCCCTCCCAGCTCCTCACGGCCTCGTAAATGATCCTGGCCAGCTCGCCTCCCTCGGAACCTGTTTCCCCACCTGTACTACAGGAAACGAGGCGTCCGCGCTTCACTCGCCAGCTCTAGTGCATACCTGCCTGGCTCGCCGCCCCACTGCCCACTGCAGGAAGAAACAGCCCAGAGCGCGACTCCCGGACGTACAAGCCCTCTACGCGCACCCTCCGACACCCCACTTCCGGAGTCGGCCAAGTCAAGAAAAGGGCTCGGGCGGACAGCATCGCTCGGCTTCAGGGTTCCTAGAACTGATGTGTTCCTCCCGGGAGACCCCTGCGGTAGGGCGGAGAGGCGGTGAACCCCACACTCACTACGCCCGCCGGCACACAGGCAGAAGGGTGCGTTGAAATGCGCCCTGGGGCCCCGGACTGGCTGATCTTCCTTAAGGTAGCGGCAAGGATAAGGCTCCAGCCCACAGTGGTGGTTTGCATCTAAGGACCCGTTTAGAGACTGGGCTCGGGCGGTGCGTGGGAGGAGCACCGGGGTAGTCCGGGATGGGGGCGTGTCACTAGCGGGTCTTAGGTTCAGGGCGGGGCCCGATGTGGGGGGCGTGGCCTACAACTGCCCAAGGTGGGCAGAGTGCACGTGGGCGACTTCCAGGGTTTGGGGCGGGTCCCAGTTGGGGAGGCGGGTCCCAATATTACAGTCTGGCTGAGGGCAAGTGGTCCGAGCCCGGCAAGTCGCCAGTGGAGAATAGGCCCAGGGCCGCTCTTGACTGTCTAATATAGTTCCAGTCTAGGGTTTGGAGCAGGAAGCTGGAAACCCCACCTGAGACCTGGGTTCGAATACAGATTCTGTTGGCAAGTTCTGAGGAGGCTTTGTTTGGGTGTCGAAATCTCTCTGGGTCACAGTTGCTCCTTCCAAAAAAAATCGCGGTACTGTCCAGCAAAGTGTGGCTTTTTCCCACCTCGCGCCAGACTCTTCTGTACATTAGTACTGAGCACGCGGTTTCCTGGGCCCGGTCCCAGACCCGGCCAGCCGTAGGCATCTGCAGTTGTACCAAGACCAAGCTACCCCGTGATCCCCATAATCTCCTTTGAAAACCTGCGGATTAGAGGGTGTCTGAGGGCTCCTCCCCTGACATGACCACACCATGTAGGGAAGAGATCATGAATGCTGTATGTATGCTTGACTAGGTCGGAGTGCACAATAATAAAAACACACCAATAATAATACCATCGCGCTCCCAACTTGCCTGAAGATTCCCCAATTTCTAAGCCGTGTTGGTGTCGTTTATCAAGAGCCCTCTTCACACCAGAACCACCATCTGAATAGGAAGGGGAATGGGAAGACCCAAGGAGGAGAGGAAGTTTGTCGAAATCAGTTTCGGTACATGATCGAGTGAGAGTTCGACGCGGGCCCACGCACTCCCAGTCCAGTGCTCTCCCCAGGCCTCCTTTGTACACTTGCGTTTTGCAAGCGCCAAAGCACCTCCCGGCGAAGGTGGAGTTGGGCTGGCCGGGGTCCCGAGTTCTGGTCCAGTAAGGCCTGGACATCCCCGGTCCCTCTCTCGACTTCACTGCAGGCCACCGAGATGAGGAGGTAAGTCTCCAGACCTGGAACCGCGACCGGGCTCCAGGCTTCTGCTCGGGAGCCTGAATCAGATCCGAGCGACAGGCGCGCGGGCCAATGATGGGCAGGCTCTAGGCCTGACAGCCAATCGGAAGCTGGGGGCGCGAGCAGGCCTGGAGGAGAGGCGCCGGAGCTCCGGGTGTCGCTGCAGGCTGCTCGACCCAGCCCCACCCCCGCGTGGGTCCCGGCCCTGCCCACCCCAGCCCAGGCTGACAGAGCCGGCGCTTGCGGCTGCGGGCGGTGCGCGGTGGCGGGCCTGCCCCGCGGTCCCGAGCGTGCAGGGAGGGCGGACTTCAGGACGGACTTGCCGCCCCCTACACCGGGCCTGAGGGTCCCCCCCACCGCCTCGGCCTTCCGCTGGTCACTGCCACCCCACCGCTCTGAGTGAGCTCGGCACCCGGAGAGGATTAAGTAAGTGCTGAGGTCGCTGCTTCTGTGCAAGAATGGAGGTATCCCCGGGTCGCGGGAGCCGGCATAGGAATGGGGCTGGGAGGACTGAGGGACCTGGAGGGAGATTGCGGGACCTGGAGGAGGACTGAGGGATCTGGTGGAGGAGGGCGTGCAGGTTTTCAGAGGTCGCGGTGCCGACTCCTTTTGCCCCTCTTTCCTTCCCTTACCTTTGGACTCCAAGGCAGGCCTGGAAAGTGGTCAACCAGATTAAACAGAAGTGGAAGAATAAACAGAGCCCCAGAACAAGAGTTAAGGTTCTGGCCCAAGGTCACACCTGGGTCGGTGGCAGGGCCCGGGACTCCTGACTTGCCCAGCCTAGCTGAAGGGAGAGGCCAGAGAGGGACGAGCGTCCCCACCCCACCTCATCCCACCAGCAGCCTTGCCCCTTCCTAAGAGGCCCCTGTGGGCGTGCATACCTTGCACACACTCGTGCTTCTGCACAGGGGTTGTGTGTGTAGCTGTGAGCTGTGCATCCTTCCTCTCCCTGCCTGCCCATCTGCAGCGTGTGAACCCTTCCAGTCCTGCCTTACAGGGGTCCCCTGGGCTGGGCAAACCTCCTATCCTCTTATCCTAAGGGAGGAGGTGAGGGGAGAACACATCGCCAAGTGCAAGCCCCCTTCCCACCTCTAAAGATGCTTCGTCTTGCTTTATCCTTGTTCCTAGTAGCCCCATGGGAGTCAGGGGCAGGGGGGCAAGAGCCTGCAGAAAAGCCTGCCAGCTCCTCTCCCTGTCTCTGTCTTACCACACTAGCCACCATCCCAACTCCAAGCACAGCCTAGACCACACAGTGGGCTGGGTCCCGGGGCTCCTGTGGCTCCCCCTTTCCTAACTGGGCTGGCTGGGGGAGAAGCTCTAACAGTTACTGGGTGCTTATTGTGGACAGGGCTGATGCTGAGGGAAGTCTTTTCTCGGGGCCTGTTCATTCTGACATTTCAGAAACCCTACGCCCCATGGCGATGTTCTTAATTTCCTCACCCCTTGGACTCAGAAAGACTGGGACCCAGAGGGGTGGGGTGACTTGCCTCAGCCAGTGAAAGGCTGAGCTAGGATTCAGAGGCAGGCTTATTTGACTTTGGGGCAAGTTTTCCTGCCGGGAAAAGAAAAAGCTGCAGTATTTTCCTCCAAGCAGAATGAGGGACATGGAGGGCAGGGAGTCTAGGGGAGGGAGGGTTGTCCAGGGGATGGGGGTGGGCTGTCCCCGCTCCTCCTCTCCTCCAGGTGCGATCATCATACCTGCAGAGGGGCCAGGGCTTCCTTTATGTGTTCCTCAAAATACACAGAAACCTTAGCTATAGAAGCACCTGTCCTAAGTCCACCCGAACTCGCTCTCAACCCCTTATCTGTCTAGTAGTTTCGGAACCTAGAGAGGCTTCATCTCACCACCGAGCCAGTCTTCAGCGTCATGTTTTTATCCTTTCCTTTCCAGCACCCAGGGAGGCAGGGGCTCCCTTTGTTCAAGGAGGCAGCTGTGCAGGTGGCCGCCACGGGGGAGCAGGAGCCCCAGGCTGGGCCCTCCTGGTGTCAAAAGCGAGCTGGCAGGTCAACCAACCACAGGCACTCTCTCAGCCAGCTCCCCCAGTGTCAGCATGAATGCCAAGATCCCATCTGCTAAGGGCTGAAAAAAGGGCTGTTTCAGCACCCCCCCTCCCCCCTCCGCCCCTGACCTGGAGCCTGCCACAGATGGGCCAGGCTCGGAGACCACCACTCTCAGCCCGGAGGCCACCAGCTTTAACGACACCAGGCTCCCCGACGTGGCCGATGGAGCCGCCGGCGTGGGCACCATGCTTCTGTCCTTCGGAATCATCACAGTGATTGGCCTGGCTGTGGCCACGGTGAGATCTGGGGTTGGCCGGAGTTGGCCCAAGGCGTCCTCAGTTGGGGTAGAATGATCGGCATTTCAGTGGAGAACCTGACCAGAAGTCAGCTGTCTGTAATGATGGTGCATTCCTTCCTCCCCTAGAGATTTGTCTTCTGGGGTCCAGAGGCCAGAAAGGCAATTTTTCATAGTGAAAGAAACAGTTGTTTTCATTTGTTTGTTTTGTTTTAGATTTCAGCCAGAGGGTACATGCACTTGTCAGAGAGAGACATAGAACAAAAGAGAAGGAAAGTGAGAAAGCACCCGCCCCCCGGGGGGGATGGCCACACCACCGTCCCTTCTCCTCCATTCTCTTCTTGAGATTTTGGGCATGTTGTATATTTTTTTCAAGCAGTTGGGTTTGAGCTGTGGAGTCAAGCGTTGTGGAGTCTAGTGCCTTAACCACCATGCCACCTGCTGACCCAATACATGGTATTTAGAGTGAGGTCATGAGGTCACATAGAAGTTGGAGAGGTGATGTTCCAGGTGGAGGTTTGATGGGCAAGATCTTGGAGGCAGGCAGGAGGTTCTGTGGCAGCAGGCAAGATGGCAAGGCAAGTGGCCGTGGGACTGCAAACAGGTAGAGGCCAGGGCTAGCTCACGTGGGATGGACAGTGGGCATGGCCTGGGTGGGGTGTCCTGGCCCAGCAGCCTGTGGGTAGGTTCATCACTCATTCATTGGGTGGTTATTTTCTGTGGACTTACTGCCCTGGACCAGGCCTTTGGGATCCCATAGGGCCTGGGTTGGCAGCGTCTGTCCTGTGGCTCTTACAGGGAGTAGGAGGCAGATGAAGTCCCCAGGTTCCAAGGGAAGCCTATGGGGACTGGCTCGGGGAGCCCGGGGAGGGGCTGTCTGGGCTGGGTGGAAAGGGACAACTGAGGAAGCAACATCAGTTGCTTAAGCCTGACCTCAGTGTCATGAGAAGGAGCAGAGTTGCGAGTCGTCAGGAAGGAGGTGAGCTGGGGGTGGCTTAAGAGTAAGTGTGATGCTGCATTTTTTAGTTTTTGTTTTGAGTTTTGTTTCTTTTTTTAAAAAATATTTAATTTTATTTATTCATTCATTTATTTTAATTTGATCAGAGAGAGAAAGAGAGGGAAAGTGAGAAAGTAAGCCACTAGGTCCGGGACTTGAACCCTGGTCAGCCATGTGGAAGTGTTCAGCGCCTTAACTACCATACCACCTGCTGGTCCCTTCTTTCTTTCTTTTTTTTTTTTTTTAAGAATTTATTTATTTATTTTTTTAAGAATTATTTTAGGGCCAGCAAGTGGTATGGTGGTTAAAGGCACTAGACTCCCATATGGCCAACCATGCTTCAAGTCCCAGACCTGGCGACTTGCTTTCTCACTTTCTGTCTCTCTCTCTCACTCTCTCTGTGTGTCCCTCTCTGGTCAAATTAAAAATAAAGTAATATAAAGAGTTGAATAAAATAATTGTTTTGAGAGAGAGGTTTTTGCTATGGGGCGCGTGTGCTTGCCAGAAAGACAGAGACATACAGAGACAGAAAGCGAGAAATGACCCCTCGGGGGAATGGCCACGCTGCAATCCCTTTTCTATTCTCCTCTCAGGATCTTGGGCACACACGTACACGTGCCCAGCATGAGTTTAAGCCGCCAGGTCCGGGACTCAAACCGCAGTCGACTACGTGGGAGTCCAGCGACATAGCCATTATGCCAACTGCAGCAGTTAACCATGGTTTGAGTCCCAGACCCAGAAAACTCATGGTGGTCGCACATGCGTGTGTGCCCAAAAATCCCAAGAAGAGAATGGAGGAGAAGGAATTGAGGCATGGTCATCTCCCCTGGGGGATGATTTCTTGCTTTCTGTCTTTCCATCTCTGTTTCTCTGGCAAGTGCACATACCCTGTGGCAAAAATCTCTCTCTCTCTCTCTCTTTTTTTTTTTTATAGAAGAGTTATTTTATTTAACTTTATTATTATTTTAATTTGACCAGAGAGAGAGAAGGGAAGTGAGAAAGCAAGCCTCCAGGTCTGGGATTCAAACTGCAGCTGGCCATGTGGGAATCCAGTACCCTTAACCACTGCACCACCCACCAGCCCCTAGAATTTTAGTTATTTCATGAGAGAGAGGCACACATGGCACGGTCTTGCCTTGACGGATCCTCCCCAGTCTTCTGGCCAGCCAGAATTATGAGCACATCCCTGACATGTTCACATCAGCCTGGGACCCAAACCCCAGGTCTTCCCACATGGCTCCAACATCATGTAGTGGCACCCTGCCACCTGTGCCACCGAGGCTGGGCCACAATGCTTCCTGGTCTGGTGTCAGCCCCTGAGAAGGTGGGCTTTCTCTCTAAGGTGATACGGAGACACCCAGAATGTCACTGAGAGACCACTGGGGCCTGTACAGGCTGAGACCAGGGAGGGTGGGGTGCCTGAGGCCCCTGTGGGCCTAGCAATGGTAACATTTTACCACTGTCCGTCACAGGCTCTGACGGTGGGCTTTATCTCGGGCGCGTATTGATCTGACAAATAGGGCTGTGTGGGGGCCAGCATGGCCTGGCTGGAGCTGCCGTTGTACCAGGGTTGCCATATGGGCCCTGCGGGCTCCGGATCACTGCCAGGGAACAACTGCTGGCCAGCAGGCAGGGCCAGGCTGCAGCTCATGCAGGGCCAGGCCAGGCCGGTAGGGCTCCTGGGCGGGAGTGTGGCCGATCGCCAGCCTTGCGCCTTGGTGACCCTGCGTAGATGGGCAGACCAGAGCACGCTGACCTTAGGGGCAAGCAGGGTCTACAATCTGCCGTCCTTACTCTGGGTGGAAGATTTTGTTCCAAGAACTTGCGAAAGCTTTCTTACTCTCTGTTCTAGAGGGTGAGGGTGGATGGCCACCCACCCAAATCAGACAGGTAGGAAGGAGGCAGAGACGGGAGAGGGCAGGAAACAGTTTCTGCACACGGGGCGGGACCCAAGGTATTCTCCAAGTGCTGCTTCCTCTTCCCATGCGCGTCCCTAGCCGGGCCATGGGATACTAGGAGCCAGTTGGTGCCAGGCTGTGTACCTCATATAGCATGAGAAAATGCTTGGTGTGGGCAGGGTGGGGGTCTTCCCGGAGGAGGCAGCCAGTGGAAAGTGGGAAGACTTGGTAAGGAATGTGTGCGTGGGGTGTCAGTAGTTGGGACAGAGACTGGGTCACAGTTCTGGCCCTTCCTGTAGATCCTTGTGAGTCCCAGGACCGCTGGTGGGGAGGAGTTAGGGTTGGGGAACGTAAGGAGCATGGGGCGCTGGGGCTGCAGCCGCTTGCTCAGGAGGGCAGGGGCTGGACCAGAGACCACAGAGCCCCTACTCCATCCCACTCACAGGAAAGCAAGGGACACCCCTCATCTATGGCCCCCTAGCCCGACGGAGGAGCAAGGGCCCCCTCAGTTTCTTTTCAGGCCTTTGGGGCCCTGCAGGGGTGCCCTAGGCCAGGCTTGACTCTGGACCTAGACAGACTCTCCAGCTGTGCACGAAGAGTGTGGGGGCCACGGAGGATTTTGGACACGGTCCTGGAAGGCGGACGCTGCCGACTGGGGAACGGCAGGGTAGACAGAAGTCCCTGGAGTCTTTGCCTGGGGTGGCCATTCCAGTCTCACTCCCTTTCTCTCTCTCTCCCCAGGGCTTCATTCCCTGGCCTAGAAGTTCTAGATGTTTCTTAGCTGCCTAGGCCTTCATCTCTGAATCTGTACAGTGGAGCAGGACCCAGGGCTTTCTTAGGTTACTCCAGCGTCTGAGTTCTGGGGCATTGGCCTGGGCTGATGTCCAGGGGCTCAGCCTCCCTCTCACCCTTCTCCACTGAGGCCTAGCAGCCTCCCATAGGCACCACCGGGGACACAGCCCAGAGCCTTGCCCAGAGCCGCTGCTCTTGGAATCTGGCCACCACCTGCACCCTGTTCTGTGTGCTCACACGTGGCTTCAGGCTGCAGGGCGCCATGGGAGGAGTGCTACATCATCCTCTCCCCTGCAGCCCTGAGGAGTCGTAGGCAGGTGAGGAGCAGCCCGTGTTGCAGAGTGGGGCCCGGCAGCCCCCAGACCAGGCCTGATTGTGGGCTTCCCAGGCTGGACTCCTCAGGGCCAGGCTGAGCCCCCACCTCTGAGTGTCCGGGTGCAGTCTGGCACCATCAGCAGCTGAAACACCAAAGGGAGACATGATGGGAGTGTGTGTCACTGGGGACCCCCAGGTCTCCCACTCTTCAGCCTCTGGTCCACCCTATGGGGCTGTGGGCCAGGCAGGCCTCCCTCCCAGCCCCCCAATGCTGTTCCTTCTCTTGCAGGTGTTATACATCAGGAAGAAGAAGAGGTAGGTCCCCAGCTGCCACTTAAAACTCAGCCAATGGGCAGAGCTGGGCTGGGCCCCCCAGATGTGGGTAGGGAAGGGGAAAGACTTCCCACCACCAGGGCCCCTCCCTCCCACCACAGGTCAGGGCCTTTCTGCCTACTGAGGGTTGGGGGTCACCACTTCCTATTGAAGTCCCCACCACTGCCGCCGGGGTCTCTCAAAGCCAGGTGGGTTTGAAGATTCTGGGTAGCTGGGGTGTGACCATGTGGTAGAGATGGGGGGCTGTGACAAGGCTGGCATCACTGCCCTGCAGCCCAGCCCCTTTGCCCTGAGCAACTGCCACCCACTCCTTTCCCTGGCCCCAGTCCCAGAGGCTGTGGGTTACAGCAAGGCCCCAGCTGAGGCATACCCGCCCCAAGGATGACAGCTCATGGCCCTGCCCAGTCCCAGGAGTGGGTCACTGCACCCTCTAGGGCCACCTATCTGGGGCAGGGCTGGTACAGTAGGTGCAAAAATCGCCTGTCACTTAATCCCATTTCAAGGGACACCTTAGGACCTTAGACGCACACTGTGCTGTGGCCGGGCCCCGGGGGGCTGGCAGGACAGGATGGGCAGCCCCCCCCGC